CACCCTGAATTGTTTTGACGTCATGGTCTGTAATTACCAGACGCGTGCCGCTTTTACCAGGGACGAAACATGGCGATTGAATTTCGCGTATAATACTGACTTGTGGTATCGCTTCGTCTCCAAAATCACTTGGAACGAAGTCTTCACTCGACTCATTATCCAGTAAACTAACCTGAGCCTTGGGTTTTTCGGGTGAACTCGACACAGGGGCTTGGTCTTTTTTGTTGGTATTTGATTTACTGCCACCGCATTTCTTTTTTTTCTCTGCTATGAGACCGGATATAGTGCTGCTGATATCGTTAGGCTCAATATGTGTCGCGTGTTTTTCGAGATGTGTTTGGCAATTAAAGAGTTGCGTGCTACCTGTAGCCTACTTTAGGATAATGCTTAGTTGTACAATCTGCCAGGATATTTCAAAACTATTTGTTAATCTTCAAAATTGTATCGACATATTCGTATTTGACCAGTAATTCCGACAAATATTTGTCGGAATGTGTCGGAACGCAAACACCTAACCCTAACCAATTCTTTTTGCTCATATTCAATCATTAAAGAATGCCATTGGCTAATATTTGCAAATATTTCCCACGGTCATATACTGTCGGAAAGACGTGGATATTCATCCATATCGTCAAGATTTGATACGACAGCCGCAATCTCTTTTCCATCCAATTAACCACTTTTCATGAGTATTTGCGGCTGTGGCAGGAAAACTCACCTGTGAGATCGCCTCGCATGCCAACAGATGAAGCTGAACAATACTATCCATTCGGATTGTTCTGTACCTACTGTGGGTCCTAGTCTAGGGGGATTGATCTGCACACATATGTAAAACCAATTCTCTGTATCATACGGTATGAATGATACCACATCCGGACAGCAAGAACTCTGACAGCAAAAAACCGTACTGTGGATGCACGTACATGTAGATCTACAGTTGTACGCATTATTGTTGTACCGTGGTTCAAGCGGCGTTGGTGATCTCTACATATAGCTAAGCACAATTTCAGTAAGTACAGATAGAGTACCTCCTTACTACATTTAATTATTTTTATAGTATTTTTAGCTTAAAACAACAGGTTGAAATGTTGATTAGGCACAGCACGACATTAGCAGGACTCGGCCATTCTAGGTAAGCACAAGTACGATAAGTACAAATACGGTAGAGGGCCTCATTACTACATTTAATAGTTTTTTTGCGCAGTGAATGTAGATACATTTTTGGTACAGTTTGGTACAGTTTTCAGCTGGCAATGCTGCTTACGGACAAGCGGGTATGTCGTTCGATTGCATCGTCGATTCACCATTCTATTCATTTTTCATACTCCATTAGATCCATTTAAACTTGACCTATGCCTCAACATGTGTCTATGAGATAGTATCGCACAGTAACACTGATACAATCCTGCCGCGATCCCACATGTGCAGAGAGTTTTGTTTTTGTATGGACTGCTTGTCGCCAGCGGATGACCGCAAATCTCGCATGGCAGCCTGCTATTTGCTCGTGTTTACAGTCATGTTCCAACGCTACGTGAATAATGCGAGTACAGTAGTGAACGTGGTGTTCTCCGCACTATCCCCATTCCAGGTTTTACCGCCTATTGCTCAGAGCATTCCAAGCACCTTTCTCAAGACAATCACTCCTCGTACAATGAAGATCATCTCCACGGTTGTCTCCGCTGCGCTCATGCTCGGATCGGTCTCTGCCATCCTCGGTGGCCAGAAAGTCCCGCAGGGCACGAAGACCTACACAACGGGTCTCCGTACTACCGTCGACCCCAAGTCGCCCGATGACTTCAGCTTCTGTGGCGGTGTTCTTATCTCGCCCACCTACGTTCTCACGACTGCTTCGTGCACCAAGATGTCTAAGGCCAACTTCGTGTCTGTTGGTGCGCACTACGTTAATGGTGGTGAGGATGGCGATGAGATTAAGGTGGTTAAGGTAACTCCCCACCCGCACTTTAACGCTGACACGCTCGCTAATGACTTTGCGGTACTCAAGCTGGCTAAGCCCAGCAAGTACAAGCCGGTGAAGCTGCCTGCTCCTGGTGGCAGTGACATTAAGTCTGGCATGTGGGCTACCGCTATGGGCTGGGGTCTCACCTCCGCTTCTTCCAACGCCATGGCGTCCGAGGAGCTGCTCAGTCTGAGCCAGCAGGTGATCTCCAACGACGCGTGCCGTAAGGCTCTCAAGTCGACCACGATCGATATGTCGCAGGTGTGCGCCGGTGGCGAGCAGGGGAAGTCTCCGTGCCAGGGCGACACTGGCGGTCCATTCATCAAGGAGAACGCCAAGGGCGACGGCGACGACGTGCTTATCGGCCTGGTCAGCGGCGGTCAGGGCTGTGGTGTCAAGGGTTCCCCCGCTATCTACTCGCGTGTGTCGTCGGCGCTGCCGTGGATCAACTCCGAACTCAAGAAATAAGCTATGGTTTAGCAACACAGCTTTGGCAAGAAAAATAAAGTAGTTTGAGGGACATTTTGCATTAGAATACCATCAATTCTGTTCAAAGAGTCCACCGTCTCAACTTGAAAAAATGTCATTATAATGGGGCTAATTCATTATTCATAAGAATGACATGATCGTCTGACCTGCATCAGCGTCACCCCCCAACCTCCGCTAATGATGCTGGGTCGTACTGCTACGCGCACAGCTTGGAATGTTAACCTCCGCCGCCAGCAGCTTCTCTTCGGTCGCTACGCGGTCACTAAACCTGCAGATCGCTGCTTCTCCACTTCGCCGGGTGAACAAAACGCGCCACAGTTCGAGAAAGGTAGTGAACTCGTTCTTGGACTTTGGCGTCGCACCATCCCACGTCTGCCGAGGCTCGCGGAGTATCAGGACAAAGGGGCTTTCACCGATTCCCTTAATATACTGGATCAGTGCTGGCTATTCGTGATGCTGCATTTACCAAGGAAGACAAATGTTGATCTTCTGGAGTTTCTGGAAGGAGCGCAAGCCGCAGCGGAAGCGAATCTTCGAGCCATGAACAGCGTCGAATTCCCAGAGTTTCTGGCCAAGAAGAGCAATTCATCCCAAGTGGTCGAAAACTTGAAGCAGTACACGACTCCTGCGTATTATAACCAAATGGCGCTGCAAGTTAAGAAAAATTACTTACACCGTAATTTCTACATCGAGTGTGAGGCCATGAAAGTCGAGAAGGCGCAGCTTGCACAGGTTGTGTATCGACGTCTGACGGTACAGGAATACGAGGATTTAGTGGAATTTAAGAAACAACCGACGGGCACGTCGTGTGAGTCGACGGTCGAGCATTTGGGTCTCCTTGTGGACGTCGCTACTGTGGAGGACTTGAAGGTGGTAAGTCTAACAGACAAGACTCTTTATGTGCAGCAACAAAACGTCTACCGAGTGGTGTTTGAGTCGCGAGTGACAGATCCAGAAGATGTCGACTGGCGCATTGAAAGTATGCACATCATAGAGCAGAAAGCG